TGGTGTTAGAAAGTGTTCTAGTTTCATTCTTTTACAGGTGGTTGACCAGTTTTCCCAGCACCACTTGTTAAAGAGGTTATCTTTTTTCCATTGTATATCCTTGCCTCCTTTGTCGAAGATAAGGTGACCATAGGTTCGTGGATTTATCTCTGGGCTTTCTATTCTGTTCCATTGATCTATATTTCTGTCTTTGTGCCAGTACCATACTGTCTTGATGACTGTGGCTTTGTAGTAGAGTCTGAAGTCAGGCAGGTTGATTCCTCCAGTTCCATTCTTTCTCAAGATTACTTTGGCTGTTCAAGGTTTTTTGTATTTCCATACAAATTGTGAAATTATTTGCTCTAGTTCTGTGAAAAATACCGTTGGTAGTTTGATGGGGATTGCATTGAATCTATAGATTGCTTTGGGTAGTATATCTGCTAGGCAATTTAATAGGTGTTTTTAAAATGTTGAGCAATCAGTCCAGGGCTTGGTGCATATGCCAAAGACAGTGAAAGAGCAACTGTTCTCTCATGTTCACATACCACACACACAACACACGCATATGCACCACAAACACACAATATGGGCACTGCAGCAGTACACACTGCAGGCATACATTCCACACACGTACTTACCATATACAGGGTGTATTCATACGCACAGGCACCACACACATGCGTGTCACACACAGACACCTAGACGTACAATACATGCACAACACACACGGGCAATACATGCACACATGCCACAACCTCACATGTACCACATACCACCCACCCCTACAATTGTGCCACTTGCATGCTCAGTACACTGCATCACACACATGACCTATGTGAACACGTACCTGCACACACACTCCACACACAATGCATTGATATGTATGGTGATCAGTACTTGCAATAATTAGAGATACCACCAGGTGGCATTGTGACACTTTTATTTGGGTGTTTTTACTTGTCTATATAGTAGTTCTCCAAGTGTAGCCAAGACTATTTTCATAATAATACTAAGATGTCATTTGCCTTCTTTCACTCTTTCTCCCAGGAGTATACAGTGGAGTTTTCAGGAGACTACATGATGTATGACATGGCAACAGATTGAAGGCTGAAGTAGATCTGAGAATCCAGCTGTCATCTGCAAAGCCAGACCTTAAAGAGATTTGTAAATGTAAGACAATATCACTACATTTTTAGAAGATACAGTTAATTTTTATAAAACTTATTTTATATTAACATGCACTAGGTTTATTAACGCTATTTTAAAATGAATAAATATCTCAAGATCTCCTCAGTTTCACTAATACAGTTAAAATTGATGGATGTAAACTCACATAACAAAAGTTATTTTGGGGGTCTGCAATATAGTTTTTTTTTAAAAATTTTTTTGCAATATAGTTTTTTAAGAGTATCCTGAGGCAAAAACATTTGAAATCACTGTTTTATATGTAATCACGTATCCACAGGTACATTTCAAAGTTTTTCTTTTTTTTTTAAGTCTTTATTAAATTTGTTACAACACTGCTTCTCTTTTATGTTATGGTTTCTTGGCCTAGTGGCATGGGGGATCTTAGGTCTTTGGCCAGGGATCGAACCCACACTCCTGCATTGGAAGGCAAAGTTCCAACCACTGGGCCACCAGGGAAGTCCCAAGGATTTTCTTTTTTTTTTTTTTTTTTACATGTTTTTATCATTTTATTAGGAATAATTCCAAATGGGTTATGAAGAAAACTTATTCATTGAGTTTGATGAGTTTTCCAAAAACTCTTAATGAAGATATGTTCACCAATAAACAATAAAACATCAGCAGAACTATCATATACTGGGCAAAGAGTCAGACTGATACCAAAAGCAACATGCAACATAAAAAAGATACAATATAAAGGAAGACAATCTGCTGAGGATTAAAAATCATCTCCATATGCACTCTTTGCATCTAGCACAGAACTAATTATCAAATCCAAACCACACCAAGGTAAGCTTGGCTGATGAAAGCCAGGAGTCAATAACAATGGGGGGAGAAATAGAAGTTCCTCAGTGCAAGATCTGAGTAGTGTTTTGGAGCATTTCCCTGGCTGGTACAAGCACTATTAAAAAAACTTTTTGGCAAGGGGGGGAAATAAATACAAATGGAATGCTACATTTCTTTTAAATCAGCAGACTGTCCCAGGAATGATAAAAGTATCATTAAAGTAACAAGGGTAACTTTAAAACATTATTTCTTGTGGGCTCAAAAACAAAAAAAACCAAACATTCAAAATGGATTTATTTAAAGGTGTCACATTAGCTAAGTCCAGGCATTTAGGCTTAAGCCTAAATAAAGTAAAATTAAAAGAGGACACTTTTTTTCCCCCAAGTTAAGGAGAATCTCTTTAAAACGAAGCATATTGCTAAATGGCAACATTATACTTGGTAAACAATAATTGGCAACAAAATAAGTTTAAACGCAGTAATATTCTCCCCAAACCAATCCCAGATACTGTTTAATAACCAAGATGCAAACTAATTTTGTTGTAACAAGCCTAGACCAATTCTATCAAACATGTCCTTGGTTAGATGTCCAGCTTCATTTAACATCTTGAAAGCTCATTTGACAGCCAGTCAAGTCCCTCATACAGACCGGTTCCTTGTGTAGCACAAGTGGCTTGAACTTACCGTGTTCTGTTACGAAGGGACTGCAGACCTAATTTATCCGTCATTTCACTAATGGCCATAGCATTCGGCAAGTCCTGTTTGTTTGCAAAAAGCAGCAACACTGCATCTCGCAACTCATCTTCCTGAAGCATTTTCTGCAGCTTAAGTGGCTTGAACTTACCATGTTCTGTTACGAAGGGACTGAAGACCTAATTTATCCGTCATTTTACTAATGGCCATAGCATTCGGCAAGTCCTGTTTGTTTGCAAAAAGCAGCAACACTGCATCTCGCAACTCATCTTCCTGAAGCATTTTCTGCAGCTCTTCTGCTCCTTCCTGAATTCTTTCACGATCATTGCTATCTACCACAAAAGTAAGACCCTGGGTATTTTGAAAGGAATGCCTCCAGAGAGGCCTAATTTTATCTTGACCACCAACATCCCATACTGTGAAACAAATGTTCTTATATTCTACTGTTTCCACATTAAAACCAATGGTAGGAATGGCGGTGACTATCTCCCCTAACTTCAGTTTATACAGAATGGTCGTCTTGCCAGCAGCATCCAATCCAACCATCAAAATGCGCATCTGCTTCTTGCCGAAGAGGCGGGAGAAGAGGGAGGAGATGGTGAAGCCCATGGCGGTACTGGCATTTGCAATGGGCACGAGCTAAAGGGGTTTGGGGCGTCCCCGGGCCTTCTCCTTTTATGCTCCCAGAAAACTCAGCGAGGAAAGAGCTGCTGAGGAAGAAAGACGGCTGCGGGGACGGTTCGCTAGCCGGCGTGTCCGAAGAAGCTCCGGGACAGTGGGGTGAGGACCTGCTCCACGACTGGCTGGGCAGCTCTGGCTCTGGCGTTAAATCTTCGGCTGTGCCACGTCACGAGGCAGCCGCGGCGACTACGGCAGCGGCCCGGCCCCTCCAACGCGAAGGATTTTCTTTTATTATAAATTTGTAAAGAACCAAAACATTACAGAGAAGAGGAAAATCACTTTTAAAAGTACATATTTCATTTTTCATTACCAATAAAAAATAAATTCCATACGTATGTATGGTACGGGTGCGCTCAGTTGTGTCCGACTCTTTGCAGCCCCATGGGCTGCAGCCCGCCAGCTCCTCTGTCCATGGGATCTCCCAGGCAAGAAGAGCTTGCCATTTCTTCCTTCAGGGAGTCTTCCTGACCCAGGGACTGAACCCATGTCTCCAGGGTCTCTCCAGGCGCCTTTTTTACTGCTGAGCCACCGGTGAAGCCCCTAAATTCCATTCATTGTTTTGCAAATGTTCTCATTGTTTTGTGACAGAAGACACAAGCATTTTAACAACAAAACTCCCTGAGAGTCACACTCATGACAGTGCCAAAGTAAATCACAAAATTATACAAATTAAGGTCTTACGCAAGAGAACTATGAGTTATTTGCTCTTCTGGCTGTGTTGGGAAAGTCTGCTCGTGGGCAGACCCGGGGCGGGCTGGTTCCAGGGTGTGGCCAAGAGACCAGAGACAATCGCTACTGATGTCTTGCCATGTTTTGTCCCAGTGTTTCTGCACATATTTCTGCACAGTTGGGGGTTCTGAGTATAAACTCAGAGTCACAGGTTGTGTCAGCCAAGTCCTGTTTTGCCCACATTGCTGTGTGTACGTGGCAACTCAGAGCCTTCACCTGCGCATGCTGCTGCCTGGGACCCAGGTGGGCCCTGCCCCTCAGCATCTTTATGGGTCTCACTTCAGTGACCCGGCTGCCTCCAAGGTGTCCCCTGCGGATTCTGGCTAAAGTGCGTCCCCAAGTGTCTCTACCTTCGAACAGCAACCCTCCCACCCGGGTCCCTCTTGGCCTCTGGGCTGTGGAGGGTGTCTCCCATCCTGTGAGGGGCCACGGCCTGTGGTGCCCTGATCCTGCTCCTCTGGCCTCCGCTCGCTCTGCCCTCTCAGTTCAGGGACACCGCCGTCACCTGCTGCTCCGCTGACACTGTTTTCAGACGCTGTGTGGGCCCCCGTGTGTCCACTTCTTTGGTACCTGTAGTAGGGCCAGCTCCCAGGATCTTCCCATGCATCTCCCTCCAGTGACAGAGATGAGAAAAACCTGCACGGTCCACGTTCCCCTCTCACGTGGGAAGGACTGCTGGAACTACAGACTTACAAAAGACTCTTGGCGAGCCAAGGTGGGAAGGGGGTTCATTGAACAGAACAGCCTGTGAGGCAGGCCCTCCCCTGCCTCCCCAGGGCCCATGGGACTCCAGGCAGGACTCCCCCGGAGCGCTCAGGGCCTCTGCTACTTCTGCATGCCAGCAATCATGCCCTGTTTTCCCCTCTGCTCACCTGCCTTCTTCAGCCTCCTTCCCATGCAGCAGATATGTTTCAATGCACTTCTTTCCCATGATTCGTCTGGGCCCTCAGAAATATCTAGAGGTGTGCCCAGACCCTGAGCCCGTGAAAAGTGTTCCAGAGTCTTCCTGAGAGTGCCAAGCTTTGTCTACCTGCAGCCCGCTGAGTGTTGGGGGCTGTCCAACTCCACAGATGGGCCTTTCTGTCCCTCAGCTTCAGCCGGATATCATATCCAACTCCACACATATATATTTTAAAACTGAGGTATAGTTCAGTCAAATGCACACACCTTAAGTGTATTTAGAGCAATGATTTTTGACAAATATTTGCATATCTGTGTGGCCAGCACCCCAATCAAGTTATAGAACATTGTTATCACCTTAGAAAAAATCCTGCCTGTCCTTTTCCACTCTGCCTCCCTCCTTCCCCCATCTTGCTCCCCAAGCAAACACTATTTTGATTTCTACTCCAAAAGATTAGCCTTTTTTCTTTCTAGTATTGAACTCCATATTTACCGATCATAAAGTACACACTCTTTTGGATTTCGTTTTATCTCAGAACACAATTTTTAAGGTCATTCTTTGTTTTTACTTGTACTAGTAAACCATTCCCTTTTAAAACTGTAAAGTAGCGTTCCACTGTATTGTCGTCACTGCTGTTTAGTTGCTCATTCGTGTCAGGCTCTTTTGCAACCCCATGGACTGTAGCCCGCCAGGCTCTTCTGTCAGTGGAATTTTCCAGGCAAGCATACTGGAGTGGGTTGCCATTTCCTTCTTCAGGGGATCTTCCAACCCAGGGACTGAACCTGCATCTCTTGCGTCTCCTGCACTGGCTGGCAGATTCTTTACCACTGAGCCACCAGGGGAACCCATTTCACAATTTACTTATTCATTTTCTTGTTGATGAACATTCGAGTTGTTTTCAATTTTTCTATTATGGATAAAGTTGCAACAAACATTCTTGTACAAGAATTTGTGTGGACACATGTTTCCTTTCTCTTGGGTCAATATGTAAGGGTGGAATTGCTGGGTCATAAGGTAAGAGAGGGCTTCCCAGGTGGCACTAGTAGTCAATTTATTTCATCAATGTCTTATACTTTTCAAGGCCTTTTACTTCCTTAGATAGGTCTATTCCTAGGTATTCCCAGGGATACAAGGATTTTCAATACCCACAAATCAATTTATATGATACACAAATTGAAGAATAAGAAGCATATAATCATCACAATAGATGCAGAAAGACTTTTGACAAAATTTACGATAAAAACTTTCCAGAAAGTGAGCGTAGAGGAAACATACCTCAAAATAATAAAGACTACATATAACAAGCTCACAGCTAACATTATACCCAATCTGAGATGCAACGTGTACATGCTAAGTCACTTCAGTGTCTGACTCTGCAATCCTATGAACTGTAGGCCCACCAGGCTCCTCTGTCCATGGGATTCTCCAGGCAAAACTACTGGAGTGGGTTGCCATGCCCTCCTCTAGAGGATCTTCCCCACCCAGGGATTGAACCTTCATCTCTTATGTCTCCTGCATTGGCAAGCGGGTTCTTTACCACTAGCACCACCTGTGAAGCCCTAACACTATACCCAAAGGTGAAAAACTAAAGGCATTTCTTCTAAGATCAAGAAAAGGACAAGGATGCCTACTTTTACCCCTTTTATTCAACATAGTATTGGAAGTCCTAGCCATGGCAATCAGGGAAGAAAAAGAAATAAAAGGAGCCTAAATTGGAAAGGTAGAAGAAAAACTGTCATTCTTTGAAGATGACATGATACTGTACACAGAAAATCCCAAAGGTATCAGAAAACTGAAAAATTCATCAGTGAATTTGGTAAACAACAAATAAATAAAACAATAAATTAAATTAGTAAACAAATTTGGTTCATTTCTATACACTAACAATGAATTATCAGAAACAGAAATGATAGAACAACCTCATTTACCATTGCATCAAAAAGAATAAAATTATTGTGTGTTTTAAAATGGCTGCATAATATTCCAGAGTGTGAGTGAATTGCATACTTTCTTTTGGCTATTTTAGGCAGTATAGCATGAAGGTTAGAACCATGGGCCCTGGAACCAGCAGTCCAGGTTTGAAGGGAAAGTGCTGGACTGCTGGTTCCAGGGCCCATGGTCCTAACCTCCATGTTATACTGTCTACAGCAGAAACTAACAAATATACTCCAATTAAAGAAAAAAAATGCATGTGGAAACCTTAGTGGGATAATTGCAGTAAATGCTTCTTTTTTCTTTTGTTATAAACCACATTACCATCTTGCACAAAGCTTTTTTCTTTATTTAAGATTACTCTTTTAGGATCAATATTCAGAAGTGAAATTACTGGGTCAGTAAATGTGAGCATTTTCAAGAATCTTAACATCTATGCCCAAATTGCTTTCTAAAAGGATCCATTTACCCTCCCACCAGCAGCATATGAGAGTGTCCTTGTTACCACAACGTTCCTGAGAAGTGGTGACTTTTTACTATAGTGGAATGTTGTATCTACAGTGGGAGAAGTCATGTTAATAGGCGGAGCCTGGTGGCTGCCGTCCATGGGGTCGCACAGAATCGGACACGACTGAAGCGATTTAGCAGCAGCAGCAGGAGAAGTCACTCCTTACATTTGCTGCAGTGACACCTAACACCCACCCAGTATTAGGTACTGCCACAGTGAGGCTGCATAACAAAACATCCTTATATGTCAATGACATACAGTAATACGTATTTATTTTTCACTCATGGGTTTGTGGGGCTTCCCAGGTGGTAAAGAACCCTCGTACCAATGCAGGGGACCTAAGAGATGTGGGTTCGATCCCTGCATCGGGAAGATCCCCTGGAGGAGGGCTTGGCAACCCACTCCAGTATTCTTGCCTGGAGAATTCCATGGATGGAGGATCCTGGTGAGTTACAGTCCATAGGGTCGCAAAGAGTTGGACACGACTGAAGTGACTTAGCACCTGCTGTCTATGACCTTAGGCGCCATGAGCTTGCAAGTTGCCTGGTGGGGCTCCGTTTCATGCCTTCTGGGACTCTTACCCACCTCCTGGCACTAGCAGGGTCATGTTCATCTCCGGGTGGTGGCCGGGTCTGAGAGAGGGCACACTTGACCACTCAAACATATTTCAAACTTTTTTTGTGTCATAGCTGCTAATGTATCATTGAGTGAGCCCGAAGTCCATGGGAAAGCCCAGAGGGGTGGGAAAGTGCCTCCCACATGGAGACTGTGACAAAGGTGTGGGTGCAGGGAGAGAAGAACGGGGGAAATATTTCCGTCTACCACTCCTTGCATCCTGTTGTTAAAAGTTAAAGGAAGCTTCTTTATTGGATTTAAAGGGATAAAGGAGAGGTTTCTTTTAAGAAGCTTAATATGCTGATATATTAATAATGTATGTTAGTGATTTTAGAAATTTTTCATGCTCAGCAATTCAACACTCTTTAAGAGAATGTGTCAGGATACAACTTTTCCTGTACAGTTCCTGATCATATATGATTTCTCTACC